GGACTGGTGTCCTGTCCAGGGTGTGGTCCTGCCTTGTGTCCTGTGGGACTGGTGTCCTGTCCAGGGTGTGGTCCTGCCTTGTGTCCTGTGATAGACTGGTGTCCTGTACTACCAGTATGAGCTCCAGGTTGCCATGACCCTATCCAGGAAGAAGCAGCTTTCTGCTAAAAGATGATTTCCCATAAACAGAGGAATACCCAATTTGTCGTGCAGCCAAAGGAGCATACATAATATGATAATTTTATCCGTGTAGAGCCTGACTGAACTCCCTGTCCTGTCCTGTTGGATATTCCCCTGCTGTAATCACAGAAACACGTAACTAACAGCTCTGGTCCTCCAGTACCAAGCAACTTGCTTGTTTTCATTCCATCCAAACTTCCAATTATTTCCTTGGACAAGACACAGCCTTCTTTTAGGAGATGTTTTTAGCTTCTTTAACAATTTAAGACAAAGATACAATACCCTGAAGACCCACAAGGCTGGAAATGTCAATGGCTGGAATGTTGCATTGAATCTATTTACAGTATCTTTCGTTAAAGCACACATAATTCAAGATGCTGGTCCTTAAATAAAAAGTAACAGAACAATAATATTTCTAAAAAAAAACAGCCTTTCTTTGATGCTTAAGTCTAGGAAAAAGGAAGAAGATACAGAGCCATAAATGTACACCCTAAAATTATTTTAAGGAAATGCATTTTTCATTTCTCATACCAAGGACTGTCTCATACTGTATTTCCTTGAATCCCTTGACACAAAGGTGGAATTTTCAAAGTTCTCAATAAAATATGATGTTTTAATTTATTATATTAATTAATACATGATAATATATAATAAATATATGTTTGGACCTTTCTAATGCTTCTTATCCAAACAATTTTACATTCTTAATTGTGAAAATTACACCTGTCATCTCTCATATTGACACAGGCTCAACAGCATTTCTTGATAAACGGGGACTACATTTGACCATTGTTTCCTTTATGGGCTGTCCTGCATAACCGAAACAGAGAGCAACCTTTTTTTAACTTCACCAAATATAAACATGGTTATTAAGGTTGTCTTCGGTTTGGTTAAGGCTTAAAACACAGTTGTTTGCTTAAATGTGTGCTATTTATTACTAATCTGAACGAGCGCAGGTTTTGGAGGAGCTTATCTCTAAAACTTAACACGCCTGGGTTATTACAATAGCTGAAAGGAGATTCAAGGTCTACAATGCGTATTTGTTCTGAAACATAACTCTAAATATATTTCCTTAGGTCTTCTTGCTGTACAGACAATTTAAGTCTAATAGATGGTCTTTTAAAAAACAAAGAGAGCCCCGCTGGGAGGAACTTTCCGCCTCTAAGTAAAACGCCAGCATTGTCGCACACACAGCACATGGAAGCGACTTCAGCATCCACCAGTCGAAACAAATGCTGATTCGGTAAGAATATAAAACTCATCTCCGCGTAAAACACTTGTGAGCTACTGGAGTGATTGCGATAAGGGACCAATTCCTTTTTCTTGGGTATTGTGGTGCGCTTGCTGGCTTTTGTTTTTGTACCTTTTAATGTTTTAAAATAGAACACTGCTCCATGCGAATGTGAAGTTTTGAGCAAGTCTTAATCGATACGGTAAGCTACTTTAAAAATGCGATATACAGTAGCTTGCTTTGTCAATTTATCTTGGTCCAGTCATACTCCTGAGCAGTCTACAAGGGGTAGCGGAACACCGTTCATTTACTTCTATCCCCACACCGTTATCACACGTTTGATTAACAAAAACCTTTACCTTAAAAACCGCGAGTACACCCTACCTGTTTTCTTGACGACATGGCCCCTTTATTTGACTTGCAGGACAGCTTAACGGCGTTGTTCGACCGCCCCTGGTGAATGGAGTCATGGCCAATTCTGTCGTGAGGATTGGTAGGGAGGGGATTCATGAATAAAATCCGGGCGATGAGACCGTAAAGCACGGTAGCCAGAACGAGCGGAATGACGTAGAACAAGGTGAAGTCCAAAAAGTATATGGGCATGTAGAGATTGCGGGAGACGCGGTAACCACACTTGACCACCACGCCATCTGCGTAGACCTTCTCGTTCGTGTCCACCAGGAAGAACCACATGATGCAATAGACCGAGGTGAAAATCCAGACACCCGCGATGATCTTCTTCGCCCGGGACACGGTGCAGATGAACTGCGCTTTGATGGAGTGGCAGATGGCGATGTATCGTTCAATGGTAAAGGCGGTGATGGAGCAACTGGACACGTTGATGCCCAGGTACTGCAGATAGGTGATACAGAGGCAGCCGGCGTAGCCGTAGACCCAGGAGGCGACCACATCCGAGATGTTGGGAAGTCCGGCAGCCAGTAACACAATAAGGTCTGCGATCGCCAGGCTCACTAGGTAGCAGTTGGTTGGTGTCATCATGTGTTTGGTTCGGACAACGACCAGCACGACCATGATGTTTCCCGCGATGCCCACGCCACATATCAACAGCGCCAGCAAAATAGTGACCACCTGAACCTCCAGAGAGTTCTGGGGCATTTTGGTCAGAGTCTGGTTGACAGTGGAGTTGAATTCTATGTAGAGGGTGACGGTGGAGTTCTCCATTGTGCAAATCACAGCCTTGCTGGGTTTTTCCACAGACTGGTTTTCCTGATCCGCCCTTATTTGCTCATGGGTTCCGAAAAGTATTCCTGTCGAAAAAGTCATTTTTAACAATAAAATGGCAATACCCCCAGGTGTATTGATTGTGAATATCCAATTGCTTTTTATAACTTGAACTAATACATTACTTAATGCATAATCAAAAAATTAAACGTCAAATTAAGTAGCGTTTAAATAAAATGCAACTTCATTTAATTAATAAGTTAAATTAACTGTAGGATTTAAGATTATCACGTTTTCTAGTTGTAGTATATTTTGAATATAATATCTTTACATATATTATATATAAGACTTTGTCAAAGTAGCAGTAACACTGTAAACAAAATATTAAACGTTTGTAAAAAATGATCATTACAAATACAAAACTAGGAGTAGGCACCTGCATTTTTCTAACGCTGATGCACTAGAATGAAACTTTACTCTCAAATAAATAAATGCCTTTTCTAGAAAAAAATATATATCGCAGGAATATTTTTTTTCAAAGCGTATAATAAAAATCTAGATAAAAACAGCAGTTCTGCTGCTTACCATGGCTTAAGAAGTTTTTCGATTCTTGGAGAAGCGCAGTATCTGTGCAGTGCAGCTACTTATAGATGCTCGGGAACCGCTTGCGATCCTTTCAGTCGGTGCGACACCGTAGCGACTGAAGGGAAATGTATTCCAAAGCCTTATTTTTATCTCAGATTGGGAGGTGCTGTACACCCCCAGCCAAAACTGGGTCCTAAAGCCTGCTAATGATCTGAGGTGATATAAATCGGCGGGTTTTCGGATTTCACTAAACGTGCTGCTTGCGACTCAGAGGAGCGGCTGGTTCAGCCGAAGGAAATTATGTTTCTTCTTGTTGTAAAAAAAAAATCACATACAGTTTTAAAACCCAGTAATGAAAAAAAAAACAGATTAAGGAGCAAGCAAGGAGTTTTGCTTCTTTCTCCTCTTTCTCCACCTTTGAAGAAATGTTGTTTAGGTAATTACAGTTTTAGAATAAAACAGTCGATTGTTGGTTGCTATAGTTTTGGAGTGTGCTGTGAGAATAGCTTTTCTTTTGTTTTAACCTTCAAGACAGATCTCACAAATAATGGGAGGGCTATCAACATGTAAAATTAAAACGAAAAAAGAAATAAGCTCTTTAAAATAACATTTGTTCTAAAATAAATATAGTGTATAATCTGCACAATAATCTGTGCGAGACGTGTCAGCTACTATCACGATGTTTAATATGAAACAAAATAGCAAGCAAGAGGAGAGAACCATTATGAGTGATAGTCATTAGAGCGATAAAGGGTAGCCTAAAACGATCTGACAGATCTGCAGTTTGCTGACAAAGATTCAAAGCCTTTCTTTCCTCATTGTATCTACAGTGTATCCTGAAGCCGAGTCAAACAGTAGAGCACACAGGGACCTCTCTTGGAATCCAGGTTTTCTGTAGATGATGCCGAGGGCATCCTCTGAACCAAGTTCACTGGGCAGGACTAAGAAAAGTCAACTTTGAAAGGTCCATCTAGGAAGCACAGTGAAGCCTGCATTTACTGTGGTGTTCTCAATCACTTACACAGTCAGTGGCCAAAACCTGGAAACTCACAGCTCAGTGACTAGACGCTGTGGGAACGAGCAATTGCTTTGAAAAGCATTAGACAGACCCCTGACATTTTCTCTCGTGAAAATATTCCCCAGATCTCAATCCTGCCAAAAAACGACAGCTCTACAGATAGGTAGATCTGCAGGGAGGTACGGTACAGCCAGCAGTTATATAACCCTGCAGCTCGCAACTGGCAAACTCAGCCGATGTGAGTCCGGTCAGTACCTGGATGGAGAGACTCCTGGGAAAAACTAAGGATGCTGCTGGAAGTGGTGCAAGTGGGACCAGTAGGGGGCGCTCACCCTGCAGTCTGTGTGGGTCCTAATGCCCCAGTGTAGTGTTGGGGACATCAAACATAGTTCTACTGCCCATTGATAGCTGGTGTGTGGAGCATTCTGGTGCACTCTGGCTGCCATCACATTGTCCAGGTGAGGGCTTCACATTGATGGTGGTGAAGATGAGTCCCCGTTGCTTGTAAAGTGCTTTGAGTGGCATGACCAGAAAAACTGTATATTAGGATAAGAATCATTATTATTACTAATATTTACAGGATGATAGACATGTTAGATGTCTGACCACACAAACACTTTCCATTCACCTTATCCTCCTCTCCAACTTGGACCAGTCCCTTTACTCTAGTTTTCTTCAGCTTCATACACGACTCATAATTTAAGGGTAGTTCAAAGATCTTGGCTCTTTATTAGGTTTATTTGCAAGTATGTTTTTTTTCTGTTCGAAAAAAACCTTCCAAAGCAAAAAAGGCAGATTTTGAAATCACTGGAAGTTCTGCTATTGGCACAACTATTTTACAGCTCATGTATCACAGCAGAAGTATATGCTTAAAATATTTGAAGGGAAACGCGATTTGCTTTTAAATGGGCAAAACAGAAAATCAAGAGGCAATTATGCAATGTTTCCTGACACTTTCTTTTATGTTTAAGTGGATTTATTTGACTGCATAAAGTGAGACCCCACATCTCCAGCTTGCAATGTTAGTGTTCAACACCTGCAGAAGATTCCATTCCAGTTCCCTGCCTGAGAAATTTTACTGTAGGTAATCATCCCTAGTCGTTCAATCATTTTTTTTAGTGTGACCCCCCTAAATACACCTCTTACAAAGTGCTGTTCAGCCCTGAAACCTCTCACAAAGAACACTGGTGAGCTGGAATTGATGCGCTTTCATTATCTGTAAGAGCTGAAGGTACAGAATGAGCCAAAGAGCAGACAACTAACTAAACCCTGACCTGGATTTCTGATTCCGTGCATCTTACTCCTACAGTATATCTACTGTATAGTTAAGGATAATAATTGTTCTCCTTGGATTGAAAAATAAACGTAGCGACAGGTCACATAAATGAGAAAGCACCCTCCAGTATGAGGACATTTGTATGAGCAAAACGAAGTCTGTGAGCAAACGAGAAAATAGAATGATCTATAATTATTTGTTTCACAGACTGTTATCACATGACCTTAAGTATTCAGCTGTAATTCAGTGACCGGCTCCCTTACTACTTCAAATAGTGTGAAATCCTCTTCTTTTCCATTTTATTTTGCTGTAATAATAAATTATTCTTGTTTATTGTGCATTTTTTAAAATCCCCACAGAGTTGTGGGAAACAGGTTTAGCTGAGCACCTGTCTTGGAGAACTGGAGGAGGAAAATGCTGTTCAATCTACAGCAGATAAAAATTCTTAACTGACGTTCAGGAGGGATAACAACAAATAAGCCACTTTCAGCCAGCTGCTCAAAATCCTAATCATTACTGACATTTGACAGCGTATATCTTCTGCCAACACCTCTTGTTTCACATTTCTGTTTCAATTGCATTTCCGGGGGGTAGGTTGATGCAAATCTTACTTAAAATATTCTATAAACATTCACAGAGCATCTGATCACTATTCCTCGTGAAACAAAATTAAAAAAAGGCTTTGGGATAAAAAAATAATGTGCTTGGAAGCATGGCTTTCTGAAAAGTTTCCCTTAAACTAAGGATCTTTCTATCTGAACTACTGTATTCGTCCATTATCAGGAAGCTGTTTCCTGGTAACAGTCATGGCATCACACAGCTCATGCTAAAAGCACAGGGGACAAGGTGGGACTACACCCTGAATGGGACTGTCAGTCACACACACACACATGTGAGGACAATTTGGAGTCTCAGTTCACATAGCCAGTGTACTGACCTGCTCCCAGGGCTGGACTTAAAGTGCGATTCAAGAGTGTTAAAGACCGCAGTTGCTAGACAAAAGGGTGGCTGATCTGGGGAGCCTGCAAACAGCACACATGGAACACCCAGGGCAGTGTGTTACTAGACCGGAGGGAGTGGGGAATTTACAATCTGGGATTGGGGAGCAGGCTCCTTGCTGACTGTGGCCACAGCCACAGGCAGACGTGGTGCAGTCTCCAGCAAGGGAACCAGAGCATAGTGTGGGCAAACACAGTTCAGGGCCAAAATCCATAAGAAGCAAGGGTCATGACCAGGATGACGCTGTGACAAAGCACAAGGCGATGTCCAGGTTCAAAGCCGAGGCTGAAACCAAGGGAGACACAAAGTGGGGGGAGCGATCCAGGGTCGAGGCTGTGTGTTGATCCCCTAACACAGTCGGGAGGCAGGGGTCAGGGCACGAACCAAGCTAAACAGGAACACACGCAGAACAGAAGCTCGAGGGGCTCGGTGATCACGCTCAATGACAGAGTGTGAAGCCCTGACGAGCTGCAGTGTTGTGGTATTAACACCACTTCACATTCCACACGTGGAAGGCTTATCCACTTATTAACTCACTATTTAAGCCCTGAGGAACCCTTGCCCTCCAGGATTCGCCCTCCAGGGACTCTTCCCCAGGATTTCTCCTGGACTCTCCAGGACACTCCCAGATTTTCTCCCAGAACTCCTCCCATCCCGATTCGCCCTATTATTGCATTTATTGCTCAATAAACCATTTCAACTGCTCCGCTGAACCTATGCAATTATTGATTCGCCGTGCCCTATTTTCCATTCATGGGCACGGAGAAACACAGTCAGGGTCAGGGTCAAGTACTTATTGTGAAGAGCTCCTGGAATGGACATGGCCATAAACAGACTCCAGCTCTCCAGGCCTCTAGGTGAGGAGATTCTGCGGCAGCCGGTGAAGGAAGACAGGCAGATGATGACATCGAGCACAGCACTCAGCATTCCTCTGAAAGATGAGAGAAACCTCTCTTTGAAATTACATCTGGATAACTGTGGCAAACTCCATATCCATGATTCTCCATTAGTGAACAGCAGAAATCCATACTATTCAGATGCATCAACCAGTACAGGTTTCTTAAGGTACCCATCAATCAGAAATACAAATTCTGTATGATTTGCACTCAAAATTAAAATTCTTGGGAGAAGAATTGGACAGGATCTTCAAATACTAATGAAGGAGAAACTGTGTGTGAATGTTTAGACTTCCTTTTAGGACTAAAAACAAGATGACGGGCTAAAGAGCCGACACATCCTGATTAGAACAATTGGCCTGGAGTGTCAGACACTTAGTGATGGTGACTGATTGACTGGCATGAGAGTGCAAACACATTCCTGCATCCTTCCTGTCTTTCCAGTGCCCCAACCCCTGCTTTAAAAGTCTTCAGCAATAGACTCACAGATTTCAGGCAGAGAGACACTGCAAGGCAGAATTCTATGCGGGCCTCCTATTGTGTTTGAACTTTTCTCTGCAATTTTGTCATTTTCTGTCATTTGCCTTCATAAAGTCATTAGTTTGCAGCCACGACCAGCTCGACATTTGCTTTCCTCACACGTCCTAGGCATAAACCTTCTACAGACAGCATTTATTATGAAAACCTAACAAATAAAGCCTCAGGTCTGATTAATGTGCCCTAGATGGCAATGTGGTGACTGATGAGCTGACAATAAACTGAACCAATACCCCTTCATGGCAGCAAACAAACTGATACACGAACCAGACAGTGAATTTGTGTTTACTTTAGCCCCGCTCCCTGTTTTATTGTTATGCAAAGTGGCACTTTCTTGGCTGTGATGAAAGTAGTTCAAAGTGGTACTCATTGCAGA